TCAGTTCAAGGTATGTTGGGCATATGAGATCCTAGAGTGTGTGGGAGAGGTGACCTAAGATTTGGCACTGCTTGTGGAACTAGCTTCTGTTCATCCAATCTTTCATATCTCTATGTTAAAGAAGTGCCTACGTGATCCAACGTCGATTCTACGTGTTGAAGGTTCGGGGGTTGATGAAAATTTTTCCTATGAGGAGGTACCTGTTGAGATTTTAGACAGACAGGTCAAGCGGCTGAGGAACAAGGAGATTGACACAGTGAAGTTATTATGGAGGAATCATCTTGTTGAGGGTGCTAACTGGGAGGCCGAGGCCGATATGAGATCCCGCTATCCCCATCTTTTCACCTCTTGAGGTTAGACTTTCTACTATAAAGTCTAAGTTTCCTTATCTATCCATTCTTTGTTGCTATTGCTTGATTGTGTATAGTAACTATGTTATGATCTGATTGGCATTACGCGAAATACTTAGTAGTGTAATTCGGGGACGAATGCTCCTAGGGGGGGGGGGATAATGTAACAACCCTAAAAAATGGCTATGCTAAATAATGCTTAATGTATCTAGAATGCCTACGATTGATGCGCGTAGAACCAGACCTCTAACCCTTAAGAGAGTTAAGCCAACAAACTTGGGGAGTAAGTTGAGCTAGGAAAGGTTGGTTTCATCCATGTAGGGCTCCCAAATATGAAGATTTACTTGGATGAGTCTCTACCGGACTTTAAAGGGGAAATCTTAAGTTTGGAGGGTCTAGGGGTAAATGGTCTTTTTCCAGGATTAGGGTAGTATAGTAATTACCCTAAATATATAATTAATTATTTAATTAATAAGTTGGAGGGGTATTTTCTGGAGAGAGGGCAGAAAATTGGCTCTTAGAGTGAAGTCTTCCTCCACCCGAGTTCGAACCTAGGATGAAACAGTGAATTAAATTTTTTTAATTTAACTTGGTAAATTAATGTAATTAATTAATATTTATTATTTATTAGATGATTTTTAAAAAAAGGGGAAATCAGATTTTTATCATTTGATAAAACCTTATTTAACTAAGTCCTAAACTAGACTCCTAAGCCTAATAAAACTCTCACTCTGTAACATTTATCTCCTCAACATTCACGATCATTCTCTCTTCTCTTTCACATTATCTCTGCAAAAATAACTTCAAAAAAGAAAAATACATCAAGTTCTTCACACTAGAAGAACTCACCACGAAAGATAAAAATAAAGAACGAAATCAATCACATAGGCAAAGAGAAGGTTGTCCGACGAGTTGGTGTTGAACTTTTGTTGTTGGACGTGTGTTTGGAGGAGTTCTTTGGGAAGAAAGTCGAGGTTTGAACGTCAAAAAGGTATGGGTTCTCTTATCTCTTGGTTCCTTAGATACCCCTAAGGTTTAGAAGAATCTATTCGGAAAACTAGGGTTGTTCCTGTTGCATGTCCCTGTCACTAGCTCTCATTGAATTATAGGTTGGTTATGTTTGTTGGTAGAAAACTAGAGATAAAACGTGTTTTCGTGATGATTATGTGTTTACATGTATGTTCGTAATTATGTGACTTATGTTAATGTTTTCAGAAAATGTACCTACGTGTGTTGGGTGTGTAGCCGTGACTATTGATCACGGTTTAGCACTTGAAATGGCATGTTAGTTCTTTGTATTTCATGTACAAATGTTTATGTAAATTCTGATGTTCATATGAGTTGAAATGTGGCTGATTTGATTGATAGTCTCTTGACTAAGTGAATCCATGAAAATGCAGCTAAGAATGTATTGAATGATCTACGAATTACCCTATAAATTTACATATATATATATATATATATATATATATATATATATATATATATATATTGTTGAAAGTGAGCTGAAAACATGACAAAATTTCCAGCAACTTGTAAGATTTGTTTTGGCTAAACACGGGTGAACAAATCTGAAATTTTAATGAGTGTAAATTAGGTGAGGTCATTAGGGATCAAACCCAAGACTTCACCCGTGAAAAACACTATAAAATGTAAATGAAGAAATGGGGTTAAGAGGATTCGATCTTGGGTAGTCCTGGATGGAAAATAATGTATGAAAATAAGAAATGAGAGGAGTGGGATTCGAACCCACAACCTCTCGGTCAAGCTTAACAAAAAAATGAAAAGAAAAGAAATGTGAAGCATAGGAATTGAACCCATGAACTCTAGGCAGAAAAGGAGAATTAAAAGAAGATAAAGTTAGGCTGTGGGGTTTCGATACCACACCCTCAAGGTTAATTAAAAAAAAGTCAAGGAAGAAGGAATTAAACTAAAAAGGGGCTGTTGAGGTTCGATCCCACAACCCCTAGGCCAAGGAAGAGAAATTTCAAAGGAAAGAAATTAAAAGGAAACGAAGGTGTTGGGGATCGATCTTTGGTCCCCAAACCGTGTAGAACAAAATAAAATAAAGGAAAAATGTAAGTGTTGTCCAAGGGATTCGAAATCGGGTTACCTTGACCAAAATACCGTAATGACACATAAGTCATACATAAATAAATGTCAACATAATGCGGCCTACATAGATCAGAATCAAGATCTTGGCATACATTTGAGATGCATAAATCTTGTACTACATAATCTTAGGAAGATATGAATCACTTAAACAAGTTACGATTGAAGCCGCATGGCCCGCATAAGTCTAGCATACGTTAGAAGTACGTGAACCTAAGATGTATGTAATGATATGATGATATGAACAATGAAATGATGAAACCCTAGAAGGGTTAAGTAAGAGTGTGAAACACTAAATGGTCAAGTGCATTGGCATATGATGAAATGGACATTCATGTATAAAAGGGTGAGTAATTATAAATATAAAATTTGCTAATACTAATGTTTGTGATTATAATATGATTTGTGGCTAATGTAAAAGATGGGAGTAATCTCAAATGAGCCTAAGTAAATGTTACCAAACTGTACTCACCTTTAAGAGTGTAAAGTTAATGAAGAGACCAGTCCCTATGAACACTCTAATGAAAGTATTGAGATTAACATACTTAATACTAATGATGAGATGAGAAATCATCAATTGAGCTATGATATCCTCATACTAGAAGTCAGCTTCCTTGAAATATGAGTTGAATGTAACAAAACATTATGCTGAGCACCGATAGACTAGCTATGAGCGGTGATGCCTTCTTTCAGGAAGGGCGGAGGTTAACGTAACTCTCATGAGATGACACTGTCCGGCATGCCTAGTATGGATCTCCTTATATTTAATTGTCTTTGAACCTATACTGTCAATATAGGGATCTGGAGGGGTTCGATTCCCATGTACGCTAACATGTTTTGGGTCATTATGGCCGGTGATTCCACCTCTTTTCGATGTGCGAGGACACTGGATTTCATGATTCTCACATGATCTATGTCGGTTAAAGTTAAAGTCCCAAAGAATGAGTGAGTCCAGCCTCAAATGATGCACATAATGAAATGAATGATACCAAAGGTGTTAGGATAGGATAATCAAGAGGTGAGCTAGACTTATATAATATCACTAGGTCATTCTTGATCATTTCATAGCAAACCCGATGAAAGTGTTAAAATACATTTTAGGTATAGCTAGTGTTCACACTAGCCTATGAATGATATGAAATGAAGTACGTATGAATGTGAAACATACTCTGTTTTTGCTAAAGAAGGCTCCCTAGTTGAGGTCCCATATGTTGAGCCCACATATTGGGAAGTCTTAATGTCAAGTCCAAGATTCCAAGGTCCCATGACATATTAATGAATGATATGAAAGATGTTATGTGCTATTTGCAAAACGATATGCGCTATGGGTAAGATGTTATGTGTTATATGCAAAACGATATGTTCTATGTGTAAGACATTATGTGCTGTGTGCAATATGATACGTATGATGATGCATGTTGCTCTAATGGCATGACATTCCTAATCCAATTTGGGAAGTCCACTGACTTTCCTATCAAAATTTGGCAGGTCCACTAACTTTCCTAATTTAAAATTTCGCAAGTCTACTGACTTAAATTTCCATAAATCATGTTTTTAGGGAAGAGTTGTTCTTACTCATGCATGTAAGCACACACCCATACTTAGTACAAATGTGTACTAATGCCATACAATTCTACAATTTTAGGTTCAAGCACAGGTGGACGCTAAAGTTTACAGATTGACGTTGCAACTATCCGGACGTAAAACTTTCATCTGGACTTGGTAGTCCCTCATGCTTTCGAGGATGTCTACCGTTATTATCTGGCTTAGATGTAGGCCATAGCTAGTGGAGCATGTTCCACTAGTGTTTCTTTCCACTTTCATTTCAGACATTGTATTGGTGCCTTTTTTCCAAGAATACGTTTAATGCAATTATGAACTATTTCATTCATTTGATTTATCTCTATATTAAATGGTTGATTTGTGAACGCTTATGATGTTAAGTTTAAAATGTTTAGCATGAAATAAGAAAATAAAAAGTTCAAATTTTTCGCTAAAATTAACTTAGATGAAGTAAGAATGACATATGCAGGCTTGTCTGCGACCTCTGAGAGGTAAACGACACCGGTCTCGTGTGGCGTCTAGATTCCGATCGTGACAACACTTTTTTAATTTTTAGCCACACTTTTTTAGGGGTGGCTAAAAGTCCCGTAACCTTAGAGTGTTGCCTTAGCTTCTGCACTTAAAAGCATTGCCAAAAGGCAAAAACGCCACACTTTTGCAGCTACGCTTTAAAAGGTTGCCTTATCAGCTACAGTTTTAGACATAGCCTTAAAGGCAAAAAGACCATGCTTTTCAGCTATGCTTAAAAGTGTAGCCTTAGTAGTGACACTTTCAAGTGTAGCCTAATAGGCAAAAAGGTCACACTTTGCAGCTACGCTTAAAAGTGTTGCCTTACGTGCATGCACAATTTATATGCCACAATTTCTAAGTAAAATTGACCAATATTGTTTTTCAATAAATAATCTCAAGCATTAAATTACCTAATAAGTAATTCAAATTTATAGAGTTTCCATAAACTTCAAAACAAAATAAATATTGTGTACATGCACATACTTATAAAACAATATTCTAAATGTGTACACAATAGTTCAAAAAGTACTCTTACAATAGATCAATATATTCCACCAATAAATATATTTCACAAAATCGAACATAATGTATTCAGTCTTTCACAATAGTTCAAAAACTCTTCACCACCCACATAAATAAGATCAAGTTGACTTGTGGCGACCGTTCAAGTTTGATCACCTCCATTTCCCTACAAATTTAAAATGTACAACAAAATCAGATTGCAAAAGTTACTGAGGCGGCGAAAAGTTCCTGATCAGTTCCCGATTGCAGCAGTTCCTGATAAAAGATTGTAGACTGCGTTTTTAGTTCACTTTATAGATTCTATAATAACAGTTCATGAAAGTATTACTGGTGATGCAAGCAACTTTAATAGCAATAGCTGATGAAACAACTAATCAAAGACTTACTCTAGAAGAAGTGAGATGTTCCTATAAAGCAGTATAATGGCCCCTTGGTCCACTGATATTTTCAACCACTGCAGCTTTCTCTATCTCCACGTGCTTCAGTGTTTCATTGACTGTACCAAGGTCAATCTGAAGCCTAGTGCTATAATCCTGTAACTCTTTGTTGTACTCTTGTAACCCCTTGTATGTATTACTTAGTGATTGGATTTGCAGATATTAGGATTTTAAAGCTATGCTCTTACCAATTGATTCAACACTGTAATGAAGCCAAACAAATATGCCTGAGATTCTTTCTTGCCTTCTGATTTCCACTTGCAGTATCTTGTTGAGCTCTTCTGAAAGGGAAACCTGCAGTTTCTTTGTTGTATCTCTGGCATGCTTCTCTCTATTATAAGAATCCACTGCTTCCTGACGAACAAATTCAAGTCGCTATTATACTTCTTTTGGACTATTAAAACCAAACTGAAGATTGCAGATTACAGTTCAAGTTTCATATTATTTCCAAATTGCATATAATATATCACAGTTCCAAATTAATTCGAGAGACAACACCTAGTTATTAATAAGTTGTGTTCAATTTTCTTACCACGAAGTGATAACATTTTATTATGACGCACCCTAAAAACAGAATGGTACCAGAAGAAGAATAGACATTCATAACTATATATTCAATTGTTTGACGTCATACCAAACAAGTAATTTACATTCATATAATAGAATAACACAAAGTTAGGGTACTTAGTAATTCAAGTCATATCTTCAACTGTTTAAAGGCGTATGGGACTAAGTAAATAAAATAAATTAAGAGCAATAGAGTTATTGGATCACATACCATTGCTCGGTTCCATGAATTATCAGGACTAGATTGAGCAAGAACCATATCACCCTTCTTTGAACAAGTTCTTTCGACCACTGTTTGCGCCCTATCAGTAGCACAAACTTTCGTTCTCTTTGAAAAAGGACAAATGCAATAATATGTACATCATAGCATATAGCTAGAGGCATACACTACGGCAAGCGTTCAACCAGTTCTACTAGAAAAACTACATGGAAGTATCAGATAACCTCCCCCCCATACACCTTCAGGTCTATGAGTGTTGTCACTACCCATTATTTTCAGAAAAATCGTTTGACATATCATAACATGTTCTACTGATTGAATCAACTTTTTTGTAAAATGCACCTGTAATGTCCTCCTTTCTCTGCCTATATTGCACAAAAAGTCAGTTTTGACAGAAAATCAAAAGCTGAAAAAAACACTACCTGATCTTACTACAGTTAGTTGGCAGGAAAAAGATGAACAGTAATGCCATAACTGGCGTTGGTTCTGTAGGGATATTAACCAGCAAGTCCATACTTCAGAATACTTGCAACCATTTCTTTTAGAATAAGGAAGCAAAGCAAAACTAAGAAGCAACATATGTATGACACCCAAAACACTAATCCAATTAGAAAAGCACAAATCTTCCTAAATGAAGTCACTAAACATATCTAATAGGGAATGAGAAGTTTCCTATAAAAATTTATTGTAATAACCTTATGAGTATCATGAAATATAAATAAATGTATTTGTGAAAACATGGTACACCTTAACATTCACATGACCACTTGAGGGCTTAAGTAACAAAATCAGTACAGACACTTCAGAGAGGTTCTGCAACATCAACAGAAAAGTCACTTTCAATTCAAATAGTACTAAACATAGATATAGCTACAGTAGTTAGCTTTACAAGTGACTCTTCTATGTCAAAATGAGCCAATCATGGCGACTAACCCAAATATACACAGAGTTTTGTGAGATGGTGTCCGAGATAATCACTCTCCAAGATCATGACTGCTTGGAATTCCTTCTCCACCTCCACATACCTTGTTCCAACCACGATGAAACGCACCACACTATCTTTCTCAATTCTTGACATCTTCTCATTCATAAAGATTGGATTTTCTCCGGGCACATACTTATAATCTGCCATCTTCTGATGAGAGAGGTACACCTTGTCTCTGGGCCACATCTCTAAAAGACACGACCATGCTTCAATATCATGACAACAACCACATCGAAGATCCCTCCACGTAATATGTTGAAGGTAACACAGCTGAATTCCACAGGGAAAAGCACATGAATTTACCAGTGTGTTCTCGAACTTTCCCTTCCTCAATCCTCTCCAATGTAGTTAGAGCCATAGAGCAACCAACATATTTTGAGGCCTTCTTTGCAGAAAAGTCATCCATGTGGCGAATAACAATTGCCTTCTGAAGCATTAAGCCCTCCACATCAAGTTTCTCCACAGGGATTATCACATGTCATGACAACTGAGATTTCAAAAAAAATTAAAGGACATGTCACAAATTAAAACACAGTGGGTTTTAACAAGGGAAATATGAGACCTTGAAAAGACACCATGCAGTCACAACAATTCTAATATGGAAGTTCAAGAAAAGTTTCAAATTTCATATGCCACCACCACAAGAAATGCAGTGCAGATCTACTGAAATTTATAGATCAGGAGAAGATTTCTAATCCCCACAAACACGTTGAGGTGCAAAAGGTACTGCATATGGAACTAAAAGAGACAGAACGATACAAGGATTTGGATATGGAGTTCTTAGTAGCAGGATCAGTCATCTTCCCTCGTATAGGTTGCAGATATTGACTTGAATCCTCATAGGCAAACATAGGAGACTACACAAGTTCACTTCTCAAAGATAAGACTTAAACATCTCATACGAGAATACAACAATGACGCTGTTGCACCATCGTCATTAATAAGATAATACAACACCCCACCACAGAGGAGAAAAACTCTAATAAGAGCATTTACACAGATTTGAAACTTTTCCGACTCTGCTAGACCCACCATTGGTGGTAGAATGGTGAAATAGAATTTCCCATTAACAAAGAAAGAATTTTTCGAATCATCAAATGGTTTTAGAAGCCAACTGCAGGTAAGTGTCTATACCAAGCATGAGTTGGTAACAACAACAACATACCCTTTGTAATTCCACGAGTGGTTTGAGAAGGGTAGTGTGCACCTAGACCTTACCGAAGGTAGAGAGGGTGTTTCCGACTCGGCTCAACTAAAAACATAACACCCAGCACAAATTGGTATCTTAAGAAAAGAGGGGTAAAACCCTTTTAGAACCAGTCAAATTATACTTACAAAATACATCGTTAAGTAGATAAAACTCAAAGTCGTAATGAATAACACAGCTATCCATCCTCCCCCTAGGTTTTGGGAAAAATGTAAAAATCAACTTACCAAAATGCCCCATATTTCAATCAGCTTTCCTTGCGAGACATAATAATGCATAATGCATAGGCATTTCATAGAGACAATTACAGTTATATAAGACTAAACTTAGATACGAAAAAGGAAACACCGAATGACCTAAGACAATACGACGAGAAGCGAATCGCAGTTATTGAAGAAATCTTCAACTAAGTTCTTTGATCTTCAGCTTAATTTTTCCATCTTCAGCTCAACTCTTCAATTAGGCCTTTGTCTTCAACTCAATAAAGCTGGAGAAGGAGTAAAACGTATTCTGGAGAAAAGTGTAAAGTATTATGGGCCCTCGAGAAGAAAAAGGTTTTATCAATTATAATTTTTTATTAATTATTTTTTTTGGGCAATAAAAATGGGAGGGAGAGTAAAAAATGTTGGAGGGAATATTATAATTTAGTGAAAATTTTAAGGCCACACTTTTAATGTGTTGTTTTTACAATTAAAACAAAGGACACTTTATAAGTGTGGTCATATATGCAAATTATTGTAGTCATTTATTTTATATTGTAACAACACTTATAAAGTGTAGCTTATACCATTAAATAGTACACTTTTGAAGTGTTGCCAAAATTATCGTAGCAAAAATTTAAAAAATTTGGTTACACTGTAAAAGCTTTCCAAAAACTACTCTAGGTAACACTTTACAAATATAGTCCAAAATAAGTGTGGCTGTAGACCTAAAATGTTGTAGTGACTCCTCAAGAGTAAGCCTATAGTAACACTCCCCAAAATTTAGAAGTCACTATTTTTTCAAAGAGACTCATCTTTTCTTATTTAAAGCATTCTCATAGTGAGGCCAAAACACCACACTGTATGATTGACATCAAGCATGATGATTAAGTTATCTAATGATATGAAATTGCACATTTATCATATAAGGATGCACAACAACACGAGTAACATGCAAATTTATCAAAATATCTCTTTTCATGCAATAATGACCTTTCATAACATGCATAAGATTGTGTCATTTAAGACATGCATAACATATGGAGAACATGCAACTTATAATTTTATGCAAGACTCTCATCATGAACAATCTACTTAAGAACTCTTCGGTTTCAAGCGTGAGTATGAATAGAAGGAAAAAATAAAGATATCCACAACCTTATGAAATCATCCTCCCCCACTTAGGATAAACCTATTTAAGAGCAACTCATCTAAACTCTAGGAGAAATTAGCTTAAAACCTTTATTAATTAAGCACGCCATCCCTCTATTTAGATCTAAGCTTATGAACACCCTTCCTACCATAACTTCATAGTGATTTTAAACCTAGAGAAGTTCAAGGGAACTGAACAGATGGACATCAAGGGCTTTAAAAATCTTACCATACATGCACATTATCCCCCACTTGGGGTACTCCATATCACATTATTCCCTTAAATACCAAAGTCGAGGCCAATGAAAATCAACCTAAAATGTTCATCACTTTTGGTTGAACTTTGCAACCAACCACACCTAGGTACAATCTAAGCACTTTTTCAATTGAACATACTAAAATTCAAACTTAAAATAAAACCAACCACTTCAAAGTATGTCAACCTCAATTCTCTCCTTCTCTTCAAGAGGAAAGGGGTACATCACCCCACTAAGTAACCTTAGGGTAATCATACTTCTAACTTATGGAATAAAACTCCCTTTTCCCTTTTTACCACTCTTAAGAGGGAATCATTAACTAGTCATAAGGGTTCTTCAATTAGCTAGAATACTTCACAATCACTTTATAAGGCTCAATAGTATCTTCCCTTCTTAGGTGCAACCAAATACAAAAGATTCCAATCCACAAAAGGAAAATTATGAAGCATATCACGTATACAAAGGCATCATTCATCTTTCTCACTATATACCACATTCTCCGAGACTTTTCAAGCCTATATGATAACATCATGCTAACATCCTATAGAATTCTAAGGGGAACTCCATTCAACCATAACAACTACTAACAAGCTATAAGCACATCATATTCATAGCTTCTCAACATAGCATCTTCTTCCTCATAAACTACCTAGAACCATAAATGGCATCGCATCGATATATACTAAATTCACATTCACATATATTCACCAAATCATACAACCAAGGTAAGTATCAAAACTCACCGTTTCTCTGTGAAGCATTGAGTTATCATCCCAATCTAAGAAGTCTTATCTAAAAGACCACCAGAATAGGAAACATAAGAGAGATCTCATATAGAGTTAAGTTCTATGGCACAACATGAGATTAGTGAACAAGTGAAACTCTATCTTCCTATAGCCTCTCACTCATAGATGTGTTGCGACTCACTACCCATGAATGCGACTCTACTAGACATGCCAATACGATGCTTTGAAACCTAAGGACAAAACACAAAACCTTATACTCTGATACCAACTTTGTTACGACCCAAGGGTATACCCTAGAAATTATTGTATCCTCAAATCATCACATGGAGTCGTCAACCTCTCGGAGGTTGAAGACAAGGCCATAGACATCTTTTATTGCATAATCGTAAAAATAATAAAAAATTTAAATACATAGACTCTATGTCTCTTTTAAATCTTAGATTCAACACCAATAGAGTAGAATAGGGAAAGACCCTTAATAACATAAATTAATATTTAAGCTATTACATAATTTAATATGAAATTTACACAGGGAAATTCTTGAATCATAAGGATCCCTCTTCTTGAAAGTGGAAGATCTATCTAGTATCTTCACATAGGAGACATCCTCTAGCAATCAACACTCAAACTTTGAGTCAAAAGAAAAAGAAGAATGGTATTAGTACAAGAACATACTAAGTATGACAACCATGCAAAATCATAAATTTAAAGATAATATTTCATTTGAAATTATTAAACATGTCTTTTTAGGAAAATTCATGAACATAGACACATATAAGCTCAATAAAGTTCACATACATCATATATACATAAATACTACTCATTATAGCACATAAAGTCATTTATCATACTTAAAGGCAAATTCAATACATACAGTACATTACTTACTCTTTATCTTACTTCCTTTCTTAAGTAGCCCTCAAGTGTACTTAGTACAATGTATAACCTTCAGGTCACCTTAGAATAGTGTTTCATAGATATGCTTCATAAACACAACCACATATATTGACAAGTCAAAAGAACATCGTAGACATGAACTTCACAAAAAGACCATCACCTAAGACAACTCCTAAGTCACGCTAGTGCAATGTGTTTGTAGCATCCCTTAATACTACTTCCACATAATGTACCTAATAAGTCATTCTAGACTAGGTATAATATATATAACTACTCATAACACTTTCATTTATAACTAAACATAAGGCCACATACTCCATAATATCATCTATTAACCCTTTTTTTTTACTACAACCTTAGTTATAACTAATTTAGTTCATATCATAGGTAAACCAGCCTCAAAACCCCTTCACAAGCTGACTTGTGTAATGTACACATGGAGTCCCATACCTTTACATATACTAACTAGACTCACTTAGAAGCCATAAGTGCAATTCACATGCATACTCATAATTCATATATGGTTAACATGCATTCATACAAGCAATTCATACATAAAATAAGTCTTTACTTAATAAAAGGCTCCAACACTATCCTTTCTTGAAGTCATTTAGTGCAATGCATAGATAGGGTCCATAATCCTACCGATGCTAAATACACTTCTTAAGAAATTTAGATTAGAATTCATATTCTTATCTTAATTAATTTATTAACCTTTGGGAGACATAGCCATAATATAATAAACCATGTGAGCTACATGGAATCCGGTGTTCTACTTTTACACCGAAAAGAGAGGGTTAACTAAGCTAGAGTCCTGTGTGGACACATAGTTAAAGGTCAAGGAGTTTTTGCCATAGGCCTTGACTTGCTAAACTTTAAGTTTCCATCTTATGAGGCAACACATATCTTGAGAATCTGGACTTACTAACGTGATATAATCTATGTGCGAGGCAAAACTTACTAACGTGAGACCTCCATCTCATTTGCATGCCCTTTAGGTGCTAAGAAATAAATTCCCTTTTTAAACATAATTAAGACTTTATATAACATTATTTCATAAAGATTAGGCCTTTGGTAGTTACATCCTCATATATCATATAGCTCAAAGGTATGTAAGATAAGAATATCCTTTCATCATAGAACCTACATCATGTGAGAATGTCCTTTCACATAATCATGTCATATTCATACTATAGTCGAGTTTAGAGTAGAATTAAGTATTACCTTTCAAGACTCTCACTTATTTATTAGACCACCATTACATACTTCATTCATACATGCTTGTGTGTGTGTACATATATGTGAGATCTACCTTCACATAAACACCTTTAGGAACAAATGTTTATAAATTCATTAATCATATACTTTGGATGCATAGAAATAAGTAATGATGCATAGGAGAACCATCATTTCCTTAGTCATCATGAATCTATCCTACTCATAGATATGAATTAAGTATGTGTGTACATTGGTCAATATAATCATATAATGACTATCACATAACATTGAGAAAGCCACCTTATAAAGATCACAACACATGTACAACATTCTTCAAGTCTCATGTCATACACATCTATATAGCATTAAGTACTATAGACTACACTCACTTATATTACACTATAAGAGACAAGAGCATATTTAACATTAGAATAGAAGAATCCTAGTATAATTTAGTAGCACGTTCATATAGGGAGTTGATAGGTTAGGGTCATACTACAAGAATATTCATCATCATTATCCATATAGACCACAAATAACCCTAAAGTGATTATCACATATATACATATAACATCATCTCCCTACCCAGGTCATACAACTAGTGTGGAAGACTATTTATATACTTCACATGACGTCAATTCACATAGACATGATATTAGAATTAAGGCTATATCCTTTAGCTTATTAAACATGGAAATCATCATATAAATTCATCTAGCATCTAATTCCTTCAAGGCTATGATCATATCACATAATCATGTACAAGAATGTTAACACCGCAACATAAGTGGATCATACAAATCATCACAATTCAATGTACATTCTGAGCTAATTAGAAGGAATATAAGTCAACTGACAAAATCCCCAAGCTAATTATCATCTTCAATCATTCCTCTAGAATATTCAATTTATATAGATAGTAATATCAATAAGCAATTTAATACAATCTAATCACAATTTTATAAACATGAAATCAAGATCACAAGACCTACATTATAGGTCAATATGAGAAATTAAGAGAATCATGGGTTCTTCAAAAAATTGAATTGAAATTAATAATTAAAAAATCAATTAAACATAAATC